TCCAGTGCTTCATTCTTCACAGAAACACAGAAGCAATTTTCACGTTACTACAATGAGTTTGAAGAGTTAAAATTACTCGGCAAAGGGGCTTTTGGAGCTGTCATTAAGGTATGCTAAAAAATGATCTCTGAAAATACAATATCTTTTTTTGGAGGATGCCTTTGTTTCCTCTGAAGCAAAACAAGGTATTCAATGTGTGCTTGGCTTCGTTTATTATTTTCTATTGCTGTGTTCCTGTTCTCAGCTTGGTATGCGGGATTGAGTAGGCTGAAATGTTTTGTGAAAGGTAATCTGTGGAGAGGCCTGTCAGTATAGGGAAGCTTGAATTTGAATTACAGTCACTTCCCAGGTGGTAGGAAAACTTCCCTCTTTTAAGGAAATAATTCTACCATGTTCTGCTGGCTCCCCTTGGTGTAAGGCATTTTTAAGAAATTGACTTTAGATTTATTTGAACTTTGCAGGTGCAAAATAAGCTTGATGGCTGCTATTACGCTGTGAAACGTATCCGCATAAACCCTGCCAGCAAGCAGTTTCGGAGGATTAAAGGGGAGGTAACGTTGCTTTCCCGCCTGAATCATGAGAATATTGTGAGGTACTACAACGCTTGGATAGAAAAACATGAAAGTCCCATTCACCGCGTGTCATCGTCTGAGACCACGGAAGAGAAAAGACTGCCCACCAAGGCAGACCCTTTCATCCTTCCCAGTGAAGACACAAATGATGTGGAAGCCAATGCTCCTCCGCCTGTTTTGACGAGTTCAGTTGAGTGGAGTACTTCCTGTGAGAGATCCTCCAGCAACAAATTCAGCAGGGCCGATCAAGAGTCCAGCGATGACGACGATGATGGTGACGGCGTGTTCTCCCATTCCTTTCTGTAAGTAAGTTTCAGGGTTGGCACTAGAAGCAGCAGGACCATTGCTTATTCCAAATTTGTGCCTTTTATGATTCTCATTTCTTTTGCGGAAGAGCATTCACTGCGTTTTCATTTTTGTCCTCACATGCAAGAATATTGTATTTGCCAGCAGTCAGGTAGTTGGAGGGATTTGTCACTTAAAGCTGTCCATGTATGAAGAAAGTTTTATTTTAGACTTCTAGAAGTTTCTATCTTTCATTTCAGAATGCATGGCTACTTAATTCTGCTATGCTGTAAGTAATCATTTAATCACCAGTAACCAAGAAACAGTTAAAATCCTGCAAAATACATATCTGTTATTGCTTTTGTTGTTCTGATACTATTATTAGTGTATTTCATATCTTTGTGATGGGGATGGTTCCTTTGCTTGCAGTGTTTTTTATGCACTGCAATTATAGTAAACATATCTCAATTTCACTGAATGCGGAAATTGAATTACACTGCTGCAAATGCTTTTTCTCTTTAAGAAACAGATCTGTCAGAAAAGTTTTGCCTGGCTTTGCAAACAAGATACTTTTTTTTAAGTGTAGAAGTCTTGAGCAAAAGCTTAAATTTTCTTTTTTCAGCACAGATTTTTCAGGTTTCCCTGTTCCTATTTCCTGGTAATATTTATTTAAAGAATACCAAAACTTTTGATTTATGTTTTTTTTAACAGGCCAACCACAGATTCTGAAAGTGAAATAGTTTTCGATAATGAGGATGAAAACAGTAAAGGTCATCCTCCGGTAAGTATAAAGTTAAAGCTATTGATAATGTGAAGATAATAAAACAGTCTTTGATAAACAGGTCATTTTGGACGTTTTACTTGGCCTGTGGGGCAGGTATAGAACCATTTAGGGCTATGTTCCATCAGAACAAATACCCTGGATACAGGATGAACTGCATAACATAAAGAGTCTGATACAGCTAATTTGGAGTCTATTTCTCTTGGTGTTTGTTGAGCTAAATGTCAATCTCATTTTATAGTCATGAGTCCAGTTCTTGCAAGTTTAAGACTTGAGGTTTCTGTTTCACACCACTTGCTGGGAAAAGTCAGTGCACTGTACCACTGGAAAACTGATGCTGTTTTCTACAGCATATAGAATCTATCACAAGCAATCCTCGTGATTTATAGGATGCTTAATTGTCTTAATGCTTGTTCTCCTTCCTCTTTATGTTGAAATATATGTTGGTGTCACAAGGCTTTCAATATCTCACTTGATAAGATGGCAGAAACAAAATCCAGGGCAGTTTGTTCTACTGGATTGAAAGTGGAAGGATTTATAAGCTAAATCTCAAGTTCTATATGCTATTTTTTTGTCTTATTGCTTTACAAAAGATGTTACATATATTTTATTTTCTCCAATTTTTAATGCGGAAGCCTCTGAGATGTTGATTTCCTTTGGAGCTTCTGCAATGTTTTGTTTTCAGTGTCTAGTTATAACAAATTGTTATTTATTATTACTTTGGAAGGGAGAATATGGGTCATGTCTTTTTTTATAGAGGATCTAGAAGCAGTGATATTACAAAAATATTAGTACGTTGCTTAACTTTTATTCAAAGGCAGCCACAGATGGTCAGTTGACATAAATGTGTTTCAGACATTAAAAATAATAGTATGCATAAAAAACCTTGGATTGCTTCCTGTAGCTATCTGTTCTGTTGCTTTCACTGTGATAAAGGATGAAGAATGTAATGAAAAGAATGGCAACGGAGAAGATGACAAGCCACCAGTGATTCAGACAGTGCATTACCTCTACATCCAGGTGAGGCCGCTCCTGATTTCAGAAACAAGCAGTGCTGTTTCATCTAACCTGTAGAGATTCATTGCTTTTTTGATTTGAGAGAATTAAGGACGTTTTAAAAAGTACAAAATGAGACCCAAGCGCAGTGTTCTTTTTGCAGTAGGGTATTTTGGAAGATTTTGCTGGTGCTGGTCCCCTCTGAGAGGAAGGAAGATGCCCAGGGGCCGCACGCCTTCGTTGGGCTCCGTAGCAGCATCTGGCAGCAACGTGCCAGAAACAGAAATGGCTTGTTCCTTCATCATTGTGACAGAGTCACTTCTCCTTCTGCTGCACCAACCAAATTTGGCAGCCCTTGGCTCACCTTAGGACAAACAGGGACTGGCAGAACATTGTAATATAAGCATTGTAATAAGCTTGTTTCCAGGTGGTACCCATAGTAGAAGCTGTTAAGAAGCCAAGTAAAATAAAGCCAGAGAAGCTTTAAAAGCTGGTTTAAACATTATGTTTAGACTGGTTTCATCTCATGTGTAACACTGATGTGGAGAATATACTGCTTTGGCATAATACCCGTGAACTTTTCTTTTTAGCTAAAACATCTCTCAGAACACTCCAGGCAACTGAATGTTTTGTGATATTAGTTGCTCCTGAATTGTGTATGAGAAGAAGCAAGCATTAATGTGCTTGCACAGATATGTTTCTAATAGTCTTTTTTTATTATTATTGCTTTTTCTTCTGCTCTGTACCCCTCCATGCACAACTGAAGATGGAGTATTGTGAAAAGAGCACATTAAGGGATACTATTGACCAGGGTTTGTATGAAGATACTAGTCGGCTTTGGAGACTCTTCCGAGAAATTTTGGATGGGTTGGCTTACATTCATGAAAAGGTTAGTAAATATAACAGTTGTAATATCTCTATATTATATATTTTAGGCCTTCTTCTCTATCGCTGCTTCTTGTTCTGCTCATTTTTGACTTTTTGATCACATAACTGTATATGAGCAAGGCTTGTTCCTTACCCATTGCATTATAAATCTGTTACAAGGTTCCAGAACATTCTGTCGTAAACTTGAATTTGGTAATGAGTCACTTCAGTTTTTTTTTTTTTCTCTTGTGACAATAAATTGTCTGGATAAAAAATGGTGTGTTAGGTATTTTTTACCACTGAAAACAGTTTCTAGCCTCTGGGCTACAAGCTACAGTCTTGTTTTAAAGATAATTGTTAGTGACTTAATGCAGTAGTTTTCCACTGCCTAAAATAACAGTATGATATACAATACTGTTTTCAGGCTGTTTATAGAGAATCTCTTTTATAGAGGGTTTTACTTTGGTTTGTGCTTACTTTGCCTCATATTATGTCTGTCTTTTTTTTTTTCCCTTCCCCTACTACAACAGGGAATGATCCACAGAGACTTGAAACCTGTGAACATTTTTTTAGATTCTGATGATCATGTGAAAATCGGCGATTTTGGCTTAGCCACAGATCATCCAGCAAATGCGGTAAGTACATCTAAAAGTGAATGAAAAAAGATTTGGTGTTGTAATAACATGAAAAATTGAAATAAAAATAATGTTCATGAGACTATATTGTGAATAACACTTTTTTTTTCTTTCTTAAGGCTTTAGAATTAAGCCTTTTTTTGTGAACTAAAATAGCAGGAAAAGCCATCAGAAACAAGTGACATTTATAAATTAGCCTTTTTTTTTTTTCCTAATTTCAGGTTGTCTCTAAGCAAGAAGAAAATTATTCAGATAATTGCGCTAAGTCTGACCCAGCAGGTTAGTGATATATAAAGGTTGTTCTAACTCATTTTAAGCAGTCTTAGGTGTGACAATCTTGTGTATTCTGTTAAAGAGAATATTTCCATTCATCTTTGAAAATAAAAAAACTAGTTCCTTGAGTTTCTTTTTTTTTCCTTTTTTTCTCCCTGGAGGATGGGGTATTGTCACTCATTTTCTTGGGTGGCAGGGGGGAAGAAAGAAATCAAAAGAAATCTTGATATATGTGGCATATAATTTGTGTTGATGTTTACACCTGAAAATGAATTTGCTTCTGCTGTTGGCTTTCTGCTACAAACCAGGGCTTCACCCCAGGTGAGATGTAGAGGCTCTTTTTGTGGCCCTTTTGCCTGCACTTCTAGTCTCTCGTCTGTACGAGACAATTTCAAGAGGTTGGTTGGTTGGTTGGTTTTTGATCCTTAAGGCTAAATTTTGTGTTTTGAGAAAAACGACAATATATATGTTCTATTCATGTCTTAATGTGAGTGAGGGGAAGTGAAAACCAGTGTCATTGTGTGCTGACAGACTAAAGCCTGTAACATTATACAAGCAGATACTTGACATGCAAAGGTAGGAACTGTCTGCTTGGCAAACTGTTGAGGAATACCTGGGTATCGCACTCAGGACTGCATTACTGCCTGGAAGAAATGAGAACAAAAGATAACAGGTTTCCCTTGCTGCTGCTGCTTTGCTGCATTTCTGAAACTAATACTCTTGTTTCTTGACATTTAGGTAGTTTGACAGGAATGGTTGGTACGGCACTGTATGTCAGTCCAGAGGTCCAAGGAAACACTAAATCTACGTATAATCAGGTATAATTAAGTAGACTTAATAAAATGGCAGTGTGGATTCTAGGGTACCAGCTACAACTCAAACCACTCATGCTCCAGAATGATGAATTCAGAGCAGAGCAGGAATATGGTTTGACTTTTGAGGTGAGCAAGGGAAGGGGAAATATTCCTTTGAGAGGATACTGAGGGTGGAAGGATGTAGGCAGATAGTTTATCTGTTGTGCTGTGACCAAAGTGAAGCTGGGGGCAGATAATCATGGATGACCTTTATAAATGAACCGGGTGGGAATACTACAGCCTGTTGAGGACTTAAAGTAAAATGTCATTATCAGAGGTGTATATTGCTCTCCTGCATTTCCAGTCTGATATTGAGGGATTTGGGAGTGGGGCTGCATTATCTTTCCTTAAAGAGAATTCTGTTCATGTGCAGAGACAAGATACGTTTCCAAGCAATGATTTTTTTTCAAAGGGAAATCTAGTGTTTTATTTCATGGATATGTTGCAAGATGGAAAGCACTGAAGATTGTCAGACCTTAAGAGATTGTTTCATTTAACAAAGATTATATTATAATTTGAAGATATATATAGTTTGAAGCCCAAACCTCCTAGGCATCAATATATGATGAAATTTAACCAAAGAAGCATTGTTTTTCTACTGTTATCTTTTGGCAGAAAATTCACAGGTACTGTATTTAAGTTTTCATGATTTTCTTCCTTAGAAAGTGGACCTGTTCAGTCTGGGGATAATCTTCTTTGAAATGTCGTACCACCCCATGAGTACTGCATCAGAAAGAATCTTTGTTCTTGGTCAACTAAGACTAGTAAGTGTGCAGAGAGAGAGAGAGAGACTGTGCATGGCAAACAGGACTAAAAAGTGTGGAAAGCTAAGCAAAACGGTTTCCAAAGGACCTTAAAAAAAGTTATGTCATGTAACAGAAGAGAAAAATAAAATTAGAGCTGCTACTGACATCTGCCTTATGCACTGTGTAATTCCTAATGATATTACTATCAATCAGTGCTTGCCTCAGTGTCAGTGAAAATTAATCTGTATAGTGCAAAACTTTAGAGGTGTGAATATTAGATAAAGAGATCGTGTGTTTAGTACACCTGGGTTCAGACCTTTTGGATCTTGATCAGGAACAAGTTGGTAGCTATAATTGTATTTGGTAAATGTCTTTGAGTGTGGATTGTTTATTAGTTCATTTTACAAAACTTCATAAAAGCATTTCAGCGACATATTTCTTGCTGTTAGTTCTTCAAAATCAATTTGCCATGTGGGTTTTGTTTTTCCTGTGGGCTATGAAAATGCCTGGTCTCACTGCTTAAAGATGTAGAACTTAGAAACAAGACTAGCCTGCACAAGCTGGACTGCCTGTTCTAATTCAAACATATTTCTTCTTTTATAGCCCACTATTGTATTTCCAAAAGACTTTGATGAAGTAAAGCATGCAAAGCAGGTAATTTTGAAGACATTTTAACTATTATGTATTCCCTGTCAAGAAATGTTAATTATCATTTTTCCCCCACTTAATTGGTAACTAATAATCTCTACCAAATTATTATTACATGCCATTAGAACAAATGTAAAAAAATTATCAGAAGAGTTAAGGAACTAAAGTTGCCATTACCCACAAAGTTCCCTGAGCAGAGAAATAAAAAGTTTCCTTGCAAATCTTTTTAAATTCTAAATGCCAATTCTGATTCTCAAGTCAGATAAATTGCTGCTGTAATTTAACTCTGCTTTAATCTTTCGAAAGGGTCTTTCTGTCACAGAACAGAAAGAAAGTATGCAAGTTAAAATGATACTCTGAGTTTGGAAACAACTGTCAAAAGGTATTCTGGCAATTGGGACAGCCAGAACACAGTGGATTTTAATGTATTTTCCCTTTTTTAATCTCATTTTATTCAGTGAGGCCTCCATGACTCGGGAATGAAGTGGTCCAGAAGAGATTATACTGTTCTGTATCATTGAGAGAAATGTTTTTCTTAACAAGTGGACAGACAAGAGAGTCCACTTGTTTACTGTTAACATCAGCTTTTTGTCTGTTTTGCCTGAGGAACAGCAATCTGCTTCTTGTTAGTAGTATAACATGTTTCCATCTTGTACAGTTTACCAGAGTATGTATAATGTATTTTTTGAACGCTTGTCAAATGTTACTTTCATCAGCCAGGAGAATTCCCACTTTTTTAATACATATAACTCATAAATCTTTGTTGTTACATATAAGATTGTCTTTGTTATTAAAGAGATGGCACAACTAGCATAATAGAACAACAGACAGACACTGCATATTCTGTGTCACTTCAAGAGGCTCACCTAGATAAATGAATTTCTGGTAATATCTGTGTTCTGGTAATTTTTATGCAGATCATATTAGAATAAGTGATATTTGGAATTTAATTTAAAAAAATACTCTAGAGATACAAATCTGAGTTTCATTTTTTGACTGTAGGCTTATAACGTTATTAATGTAATGTGCCTAAGGATGTTGCTGCCAATCCTGCTGGCATTAAGAAAGGTGTGTAACGTTTTGCTGTACCCCGCAGAGGTTGGTCATCGCGTGGCTCCTGAACCACGACCCTGCGGCGCGGCCGACGGCCGTGGAGCTGCTGCGGAGCGAGCACCTCCCGCCGCCGCAGATGGAGGAGTCGGAGCTGCACGAGGTGCTGCACCACACGCTGGCCAACGTGGGCGGCAAGGCCTACCGCACCATGATGGGCCTCATCTTCTCCCAGCGCCTCTCCCCCGCTATAGACTACACCTATGACAGCGACATGCTGAAGGTTTGTGGGTGCTTTGCCCTGCTCCGCCTTTTGAAAAACGTTTGTGAGCGAGCTCCAGTCGCCTTACCTCTTACTGTTGCCTTACCTCTAAGATTCGTTTTACAAAACAGTTACCATTCAAAGCTGCAAATGCAGACTAAGTGTTCTTAAATACTCCTTTCCCATTTGAACTCTACTTTCATTCTTCAGCAAAGAAATAAGCAATTGTAGCAGCAAAAGCTCCAAACTTACATGCACGCAATTACTTTTCTACTCTTAGTTTCTATCAAATTAATGGTACTTGCTCTTGACTGCCATCTTAGTGCTTTGGCTTGACTAGTTTCTGACCTTTTAATGTTGGCAATTAAAATATTCCTTTTCTGTTTCTAAAATGTTAAAACTTTCTCAATCTAAAAAATACAAGGTAACATAGTACGATAATGTTTTGTATGACTGTAATTATTATTTGAGAGTATTACAGCTTACCCACTGTAGTGGGAGAAGCTAGCAGAATGCTTATTACCTACATGACATACAATGTTCATGGCATATAAATTACATATGTACTTTTTATTTGTGATGGTTTCAGGGTAGTTTTTCTATTTGGGCAGCCAAGATACAGCAGCATATATGTGAGAGTGTCAGCCGGATTTTTAAAAGACACGGTGGGTTTATTTACCAAAGTTGCTCATTTCTTTCTTCGTGGTTGAATGTATTTTGGAGAATGGCATGGCTTTGCTGCTGTCGTGTGAGTTGCAAAGTACGTTGAACAGTAGTTGCGTCTAATTTGAGGCTTAAAACTGTGTGTTGCTCTTATTTTCGCTTCTTAGTAATAGCTATTGGCTTCAAATCTGAACCATTTAAATTCTCCATAGAAAGAACAGTGAAAATCTTAATGTGATGATGCCCTGTGGTTGTTTTCAGTTGTACTGATTAGCTTGCAGGAAATGCCGCATCAAATCCAGATAGGAATGTAAGAACAGCTCTCCAGGGAGAGAGCAGGCGTCCATCCAGGGCAGTAACTTCCCTCTGACTGCAGCCAGAATGTGGTGGCCTAAGAAAGAGTGTGGAAAAGGACAGGAGCTGTGTAGTGCTGGTTTCGTTGATTCTGCTGTGAACCATGATTTGCGGTTCAGGAATTTCCTCACTGTAGCTGGTGTCAGGATGTTTAATAGTGTGCGATAGTTAATACTTTCCATTACATTACCTGATCATTAGTAATAGTATTTGCTGAAAATTCGTTTTTAAGAACAGAAGAAAATTTATTCACATGTTGACCCACTCAAAGTGTTTCAATCACAGTAGTTTATTAAATTATTTTCTGAAAAAAAATACTCAAAATAGAAATGGGAGGTTTTCCTAGTATGTCATAATCTGGTTAAAAATGACAGGATTTGGCAGTACAAAAGAATGAGAAAATAGGAAATACAAAAACAAAGAAGAAGCTGGTTTTTTCTATCTCTCTCTTTAAAGTTTGTCAAACTTTGGAAATCATTTGTCTGCAGTTTAGAAGAGATTGAAATATTTTCACTCAGCTTCTTGGAAAGCTTGGAGAAAAAGTGGGGAGATTGTGGAATATCTTCTTTCCAATAAACAATCTGATTTGAGATTACCATTTCTGTATTTAAGGGTTTTTCCTTTTAAAAGCTGAAAAAATGTTGAAACACAGTTGAAGACATTTTACAATAAACTAGCCTTTTGGGGATCAGAAGAGAATTTAAAACAGGAAAATATCTTTTCATTAATTAGTTATATTATTGTTTATAATAAGGCTGTGATGAAGATTTATTAACATCTGTCTTTATGAATACAAGTACAGCAAACACTAGTTTTATCAGAAAACAAATGGTAAAATTGTGAAGTTTTACAGTGAAGCATAAACACTTACGTTACCTTTTGAGATGCGAGAGCCAGGGCACTTGGTATTTTGTGGTGCTGGGATGACACAAGTTCTCCAGAGCAGTGTCTTTGGACTGAAATAGTACCTCAGGGCATCCACATAGTTTCTTATTTCTTCCTTAGGTGTGCCTTTGTGAAAGATGGTGTTTAAATAGGCAGGGCAGGGTCAAGGTTCTGCCGTGCTTTGGAATTTGCAAGTTTCCTCAGTTTCTGTGAGGGCTTCTGCGACTTCCAAGAAGTGTGCGATATCAAACACCAATGAGTGATGGCTTTCTTCAGTAGACTTTCTTCCGCCATTTAAAGACATTCAAAATAATGTGTATTGTTTGAGATTGTTCTCTCTGGTTGTTTATGAGCTTATAAAAAGCAGATGCTATTTTGAAATTCTGAGGTAATAGCATTTTATCGTCTTTGTGTAGGAGCCATCAAGCTGCATACTCCGCTGCTAATGCCTAGAAATAAAAAACTGTATGAACATAATGAAGCTTCATATTTCATGGATCACAGTGGGATGCTGGTTATGCTTCCATATGACCTCAGAGTAAGTAGTATCTTCTCTGCAGGCAAAGCTGGATGTGGAGAACTGTGGTGTTTGTTGATGCTTTTGATTCACCAGTCAAAAACATGGTTTAGGCTTCTACTTACTGGCTGAAGCCGTGGCTCTGTCAGTGCCTCTTCCTGTGTTTCTTAGTACTATTGTTGGTACTTGTCATCTCCTAAGGAATAAATAAGTGTCCTGTTATAAATGTGGTAGGTGTCACTGCTGCTGTTTTTGTTCTTGCACATGTATGAGGAAAAGGACTTTTTCCAGGACCAGTGGAAAGTGCAGTATTACTTTCTTGTTTATATGCCTTTGCAGACAATGTGTGTAACAGACTCTCTGGTTTTGTACCCTCCTCTGCTAACAGATGCTGTTAGGAGTCATGCTGTAGAGCTACTCTGGAGAGGGGTTGCTGTATGTCCAGTTGAATCTCTACTTTGATTCCTCTGTAGTTACTACTCACTCACATGCAATGCTAGTGTAGTTAATTAACTTATACTTAATTTAACAGCCAAGTGCTTAAAATTTTTGTTGTTGTTACCGACAATTAAAGAACCTAACTTTAATATTCCATTGAACTAACATAAAGTCACCATGACTTGTCTTTCCTTTTGCTCATAGCATCAAGCTTTATAGTATGATCCACAGTTATGGATTTGTGCAGAGTATATGATACTTAGCTTTGTTGGAATTACTAGTTTTGGAAGTTGTGTTGTTAAGGTCTTTAGCAAATATTTCTGTATAGCTTTATATACACCTCCTGATATAATTTAATAGCCTTAGATTGTGAGGCATCTTCCATGCATTGGGATAATTCAGACAATTGTTTGTGTCCCTCTGCAACTTCTTTGCATAGGAATATGTTTTTACTATTATTAAAAGACATGGACCAAAAAGAGTTAATCTTGTGACAAACAATTTAAGACATTAGTACACTGTGACAGTGGAATTGTTAACCTGTTAGTAGTAATGCATGTCTGGTTTCAGAGCATAGCCAGAAAGTTTTGTTCAAACCATTTATTGTTTTATTTTTGTTTGTTTGTTTTTAGATTCCTTTTGCAAGATATGTAGCTAGAAATAACATAACAAACTTGAAAAGGTAAGGGACATAAATCGATGACACTTTGAGCAGGTGCCACACTTTATGACAGTGAACACTGAGGAGGCTGGTCCATTCTTCCATGTTTTCCCTAGGTACTGCATCGAGCGAGTTTTCAGGCCTCGGAAGCTGGACCGCTGTCATCCCAAAGAGCTCCTAGAGTGTGCGTTTGACATTGTTACGTCCTCTGGAAATAGCTTTCTGCCTGTAGCAGAAACAATTTATGCCATTTCGGAAATCATTCAAGAGTTTCCAGTGCTACAGGTAGATCCTCTAATCATACTCTTTGGTTAATAAAATTCTTACTACTTTTTACTCTTCCTCCATCCTAAGATTTTAATCCAAGTGTATATATATTTAAATGTGTTTAATAGGAATAGTTCCTTTAACCTCAAAAAAAAACCACAGAATTTTTCTATTTCCTTTTTGAATTTCCTGTTTGAACACTGTTGTTGAAATGTCTGTCTTCTGTTAGGCAAGTGACACAAGAGAATTCTGTGGGATGGTGCAAACCTTGTTATTCTTTGATTATGGATGGGAGATAAGGTGATGGAGGCAGAGGTCTGAAGTTGGTTATCAACAATGGGGAAGTTATTAAAAGCTTAGGTTTTTTTTTAAAGAAATTAGAATGCTTTAAGAATATTTTTTTTCTTATATTTTGCTAGGAAAGAAATTACAGTATTTACTTGAACCACACTGCCCTGCTGAAAGCTATACTTTTACACTGTGGGATACCAGAGGATAAACTCAATCAAGTCTACATCATTCTGTATGATGCTGTGGTAAGAAATCAGCTATTCCACTAATCTTTGTATTCATCACTGTAAAGTATCTTATTATTCGTTTTAAAATGAGTAATAGGCTATTGCCAGCCTATCAAGGAACACATATTGATAGACATAAAAGCTGAGTATATTCAAGCTGCAAATTTATGTGAACAACTTGTCTTCTGGATTGAGATGTTTTAAGAAAACTTTAAAATATGTGTTTATGATAGAGTTATTCATCTCAATAATTAAAAACTAGTAGGATATTAAACCAAAAATTTGAGTGCTTTTATTTAAATATAAAATTTAATATAACAGTTTCTTAGTGTGTGGGTCATAAACAGAGAAATCTCTGGGTCAAAAACCTAGAAAATAGATTTTCTTAGAATAATAGGGGAATGCATAAATCTCAACAAAATTATTCTTATTAATTGTCTTCCATTGCTCT